TGTGTGTGTGTGTGTGTGTGCGCCTGCAAGCTGAATTATCCAACCTCTATGAGCTTTTCTCTCACATTCAGAATCTTGAGTCTAGTCAGGGTTTCCTGCGGTGAGCAAGATCTAATCTCTGAAGTCAGAGTTAGTGCACTGACCTACATAGATGTGGTTTGTGTTGGGAGCAGGACATTCAGAGAAGTTAAGACCCATCATGGGAGACACTATAGCGCATGTCGACACTGCAGTATGAACTCACAGCACTGAGCCTGGGCTGGACCACAGTCTGAGCCGGGGAGTCAGCACCACCAACCATTTACTATTTTAAATGCCACATGATATTGATACTTTTAGAGATACCATACAACAAGCTGAACATGATGAAAAGAAAAGAGAGAGAAACCAAAGAAGTTATCATAAATAACATGTGCACCACCGTGCACAAAATTAAAACACCATCATTTGTCCTGTTTTAATTTAAAATTCAGCAGTTTAAGTTAAGTCAATAACCTTAAACATCAACTGGCCGTGTTCATACTAATGTTGGTCCACTTTTTCACCTGGATCATGTGTGTGACAACTGCAGGAAGCAGGATTGGCAGCCCGGGAACATGGCTGGTGCACGCACGTAGTACAGCAGCAGTCAGAGTGAATATCAATACAGGTATATCCATTCATCCATTATTTATACAGCTTATCCTGTAAGCTGACATTGGATGAGAGGCAGGGTACACCTTGGACAAGCATATAGGTAATATAATATATCTAACTTAAACGGTATCGTTTGGTTTAGCTATCTTTCTCTCACCCTCCTTTTCTCTTTCTCACTCTCTGAAGGCTGAACCTACTTAAACCTGCTTGCCACGTAACTCCACTTCATGTATTTGCCCTTCAAAATAAAAGTTCTGTACAGATTTGTGTAATTATGAGATTGCAGCAGTGGCAATAGTTTTGCCCGCCACTGAAATACTACAATTCAAAAAGAACTTGGATGGATGGAGGCACGTCCCCAACCAGTCTGATTTAGGGAAGCTCATTTTGAAGTTTTAACTTTATTTTCTTAGTTATCAACTTTTGGCTGGTGTCTGCAGTGTATCTGCCACAATCTGCCATTCTCACCTTTTCCCTCCGGAAGTGTTGTGTCTTACTCACAACATGTGGAAGAAAAGAGCTCAACAGCAGGGTCTGAATATATCGATGAAACCTTGAGGTCAGAACTTTAAACGGCCTCTGAAAGGAAGGATCTTTGTTGCCTTCAGATCGGGCTCAGTATTTCCATACATTGGTGCTGAAAAAGATTTCATCCTCCTTCTCTCTTATCTTTCGTCATCTGATCACTTCCCACTTGTTGAATGTTGTCATATTTATGCGGAGACAGTTTGAACGTGTCAGTCAATTAGCTGCTTACAAGCCAGCAGCAGGGCGGGGGGGACAGATGGTAGGCAGAGCTCAGCAACCCTAATTTGTCACAGATCACTACCTGGCCATAAAACACTGACTGATTTACACCCACTCTTTGTGACGAGATGACGTGAACTGACGCCCCTGGAGGTCCAGAGCGGAAAACCTCCTCCCAAACCTTTGTTAGAAAGTCTGAGTGTGGAGAAGAAGGCCAGGTCTGAGAGTATTAAAGCTCTGATGGAGAAGGACACACAGAGATAAACTGAGCTTTAAGAAATGATAAAGGAATTCAGAAAGACTGTGTTTTGCTGCCAGATAAAAATGTTATTTCGAAGTCTGCAAAGAGTGAAAAATGAAGTGAGTTTTAGACGCTACTATCCCAAAGGAATGTATCTTTCATACATGGTTGGCTATTTGTGGGAAAGCTGTGTGAAAAATATTTTCCCATGCTCTGTTGTTTTGGATTATCATCCTCCATTTTGTTGTGTCTAATAATGACACAGCAATAAATTACGTGTAGAGCTGGATGAAACAGTATATCAATACATTATTGATAGTGTGATATGAGGCTATATATCAAATGGAGGTTTTTGTGTTATTGTGATCTACTGTAGCCTAAATGTTTTCTTTGTTACAGTACATATTAGACTTGGCTGTGTTCTTGATGACTAATTTAAACAATTTATCATTATAGCAACATGAATAATTTCTCTGTATATCTTTTGGAAGGAAAAGCAATAATTGCAGGAATATCACCAATGTATTACCACCAAGGCGTAATAAGTGAAAAATGTGTTGTGTCCAGGCCCTGCACTATGAGTATCATGTATCTATAAGCATAGCTAGAGAACTTCAAGGTGCTTACAATGGGTCAGTCAGATGTAACTGTAGTGCAAAGGTTAGCTGAACCACGAGTCATACCTCTCAAATGTTTGAATTTTACAGGAACTCTGTTTATTTGCCTGTTTGTTTAGTTCATTTATGCTTGTGTGACACCACAATGAGATTGCTGTAAAAAGCAGAGTCTGCTGTGGGTCATATTCAGTGTTACATCAAAACAGATTAACCGCGGCTATTTTAAATAGCAAATCGGACATTTTAGATTGAATTAAAAAGCTGAGCTACTATTCAAACCATCTTCTGCCCATTCATTCTCAAGGACAGTGGTGAGGTTTTACGTACATGGGAAATCATGCAGTGTAAGGATGTAAATAGAGCGCAGTAAATAATAAAAAAAACAAAATCAAATTAGCATTTGCTGTCACCACCGTGTGCCTTCAAAACATCACTTCACACTGGTACACAGTCTTTCAAGGTACTTGCCACCGTTCTTCTGTCTCTTCATGTGATCTCACAATGACTGATGTTGAGATCAGGCTCTGTGGGGGACAGAGCATCTGTTGCCAGACACCTAGTTCTTGTTGCCGAAGATAGAATCCCAACATGTAAAGTTTTTATATATTTTGCACCGTACTCATTCAAGCAACTGGTAACACGTACTGTATGTACGGCTGACATCACCGGAATTCTCCAATGAATACTATCACCTGTCAGTTTTTTGTAATAACTTTTTGGCAACCTATAATACCCTGGACCAAATGATCGGAACTACATGTGTACAAGACTTGTTTGATTTTTTGAAATAAGCAAACTTTAATCCTCCTTTTGTCTTTTTTTGTGTTTTTTTACAGGAAGGTGGACAGAAAGGCGCGGCATGATGAGATCCGCAAGAAGTATGGTATGTATGCACCATGGTTAAAATACATTGTATTGCCATATATACTCCATTCAACCTCTTTAATGATAGTCTGACCTACTCAGTGCACATCTGTGTGTGAGGTATGAACGTGCTGTACTCGAGTTGATCAGTAAGTCGAACACAGTGCAGGATGTACCGCCTGACCTCTGCTCTGCTCGTGTCAGCTTTGTCCCAAATGCATGTTGAATTGGCATTGACTTTAATTTCCATGCGCTGTGCCTGAAATACATTATTCAAGAGTAAATGCCTGGTCCCCGAGCGTAGTGATTCAGGTCACGTCCAGGAGAACTCCTGTCTGTTTAATTCAGTTTAGGCACAATGTCAATTTAGGCATAATTTATCATAGGCTAGTGTCAAATGTAAGTGTCCTCATGACCTGGAGCAGGGTTTTTACTTACATGTCACTGTCACATTTTACTATATTGTTAAAACATTTTTATCACTACCCATTCATGTAGTTTGGGCTTTCAGATTCAATTTAATTTATCTAGGAGTGTGACACAGACAACTTTTTAATATAGTTTTGAGATTGCTGCCTTTTGTGCCACGTCCATCCTTTCAAAGCCAAACCACCTCCATGTGAGTAAGATTGATCCACAGGAGTGGCTCCTGTTACTGTTAATTCAATTATTTTTACCTCAGTCATACATTTTTGTGCAGCCACGCTAGCTAAACTTGTGGTGCTGTGCATGCGCTGCCCTACACTCAGGAAACACAATGATGACAAGGTGGAGACACACAGGGACAAATGTAATAGACAGAGTGAATGAAGATGATCTCATTAGTTCAGTTAGTGAAAAGGTTTACGTGTAAAGTCATGAATCTGTGAGGTGGTCTTGGTTGTACCAGCCACCTGTGGGAAAAGACACATCTAGCTATCATGTGATCAAAATGCTATAATTCCTTTTCCAACCAAGACCAAAGTTTTGATAAGTCAGACTTATTATCCCTTTGTCGTTTGATGCAGCAGGATTAATAGTCATCAGTATGTATTCGCATCTATCCATCCATGCTTTCCCAATCACAACTTCATAAAATGTCAGAATTAGGTCAGTCAGGTAAACGTCACCTCCTGTTGACTCTTGTCCATTAAAACATGAAAACTTTCATCTCTTAACTGCCAGTACAAAAAGGGAAAACATTCAACTCTCACAACTTAACATTACACAGCAATGCTCTGCTACAATTTTCATCAATACATTGACTAAACAATAAATCGCTGTAATCCCACTGTGGAGCAGTAGAACAGGTGGGATTGACATTTACAAAGAGGTTTGATGAAGAGAGAATCATTTATCTTCTGCTGCCGATGTGGGATACATGTCAGCTGTGTGTGAGGAATGACTTCTCACTGATTGACAAGGCTGTATGCGTTTTATTCGTATACGTAATCCATGGTGCTGTTACACATCCTCTGAGACTACACGCTAAAACACATTCTTTACTAAAGCACCAGCTCTCAGTCGAGCATCGTGGAAGTTGGCTGAAGATTCCTTAATGCACGACTACAAGGTTATTCAGCTTAATGAAAAATAGTTTCATGTGGAAGTTATCCCGGCCAAGGAATGTGAATTATAGTTGTAGGCATTTTTACTCCCAGCACAATATCAGCAAATCAATGCTTATCTTGATCCCACGGACTGGAAGCAACAGTAAACCTGCTGCAGAAACACAGTTTGGTAAAAGTTTGACACGGACATTAAAGACACAAAATAAAGTTCCCATGTGACCAGCTCTGCCAACTATTGAGGACGAGAAATGAAAAGATTGATATAGATGTTATACATCAGTGTTTACAGGTATTGGGACGTACTACTACATACACGAGAACAACTCTGAGCCTGTAGTCTGAAATCCAGTGAGATGTGATATCACTTAACATGAAGCTTCACCACACCCCTGAGAAATCAAACAAGCTAAGCTTCACCAACAAGGCAAAATGAGTTTAGTGCATCAGCGGCTACTTTATTGATTTACTAATTTTATGAAATTGAACTAACTTCATGCCAAATAATCTCAGTGATCAATAACTGTCAGTCAAACAGATACACGGGTTAAAAAAAGGTTCTCCCCAATAGTTTATTAAACAATAACCTGTGAACATACAAACATAACACTGCAGAGACTTATAGTCAATATGTGCTGCATTGTTAATATCCAAAGTTTGAACTTTTAAACACAGGTGAATGTGATAAAATGATCAAATTATTATAACGTTAAAATCATAAGCAACAATGCTAATACATGATATGTCAGTGTAAAATGAGACTAAGATCTGATGAGCAGAATATATTGTTTTTATGTGTGTGGTGTAGCTATTTATATTATTGCAGTAGAAGAACTTGTCAGTATTAACACAATCTGTAACTGAACTTAAGAGCAGTTCATCTTATTTGTATGTATATTCGCCTTCGTCGTATTTCTTAGGCATTAGCATTAGGCTGAGACTTGGATTCCAAGCCGTGACCTTGACTTGTGAAGGAATCAATAGTGCAGGTACTGACCCGCTCCTCAATCAATTGCCAAGTGTCGTCCAATTTGGATTAAAATTCACTGTGACAGACAGACAACACTGATTACAATACACCACCTGCTGTCAAAGCACATTTGACGCAGGATTAGAGGAGCTGGGGATGGAATGGTCGACCTTCCGAATTATTGGACGACGTGTTTTACCTCCTGAGCCACGACCACACGCAGACTGGAAACGATGGGAAACAGTTCTCAAAGCTCTGAGCAAAGCAGAAACACTTCACCTGACCAAACACTTGGAAAGCTTTCTTATGAATACAGTGCATCCATTTTGTTTTATCTGTACATTTCCAGAAGTAGAAAATGACAACTTGGGGGAGTGCCATGTTTTAACTGTTTCCCTGTTGCTTGCTCTGTGGCGCTTCCACTCCATATGCAGCTTGTCTTAACACATCACAGGGATGAATTTAAAAAATGAGATATTAAACATTTCTTAGTTTAGCAGCCTCCACTGACGTTTGCAGTCAGCTACTCCCTCAGCTTCCCTCAGCTGTCTTTGTTAAGTCATTGAGCCCAACAGTTGTTTTGTCAGCAGTGATTCTGCTTTGCTGGGTTCCAGTTTACATTTGTATCGTCACACACTGTTACTGACATGGATCGTAACAACACACACGGTGCAGAGCCACAGCGAGGTTTCTTTTTCAGATGACTTTGAATTTGTTGTTTATGTGCTGTAGCTCAAAGCTAAAAAGGAAAATCCATAAAACACTGACAGATATTTTCAACAGTCAGCGAAGCAACACGTTCATGTATTGGAATAATATCAATAACAGATGTCTCTTTACTGTATCATCTATATCTGCAGCTGTTGTTTCACATTAATATGAGGGAGAAAGATTCATTGTTCACATGTTCTACTTCCTCATTTTTACACATTTTGATGGAGAGATCTATTCAGACTGAAAACACTGCAGGTCATGGCAAAGACCCCCTTATGATTTCATCAGGTTTATCCCAGCGCACGCTTTAGAGTTCAGATTTTTAGAAGAGAGCAGGAATTAATGCTGAGCTGAGGCGTTTGAAAGATATGAGCAAGGGTCTTATGAAATATGTAACTGAGCTGCATAAGGTGAATATGGAAGTGAGAATATCACAGTTTCTGCTTGTGTTTTTAATTATTTTTAAAGATTGTGTCTCACAAGTCCTTCAACTTTACTGAAGTGCAATGTTAAATCACTGTGAAATAATTCTGCTGAGTACAGGAGAGCTTGAACACAAATGTTGATGGTCTGATATACTGAAGTAGCAAAAACAAAGTAGTTTAAGAATATATTGTACTGAGAGAGTTTTACAATTCATTTCATACAGTGGATGTTGTTTGAATGATGTGTTCTCCATCTGAGACTCAATGCCTCAGAGACACATGGAGAAATAAAAAGCAGAAGAGCTGAGCACATCACGTTCACTGATGCGTTTCTGTGTTTTCGTTTTTGTCTCCACTCTCTCCGCCTCCCCGTGTCCTCCGCAGGCCTCATGAACGACTCGGACCACCCGTACAGCAAGTTTGAGAACGAGTAGAGCAGCTGTCCTGGTGGAGTTCCACAGGAAGAATTCGGAGTCTGTCTTCATTTATATCTTGGAGTGATTCCCTTTTCTCACAAAAACCACTAACAACAAGACAAATACTGCTGAGTGCCGTCCAGAATTAATTATTTCAGATAAAAATCACCATATCAAACAATAAACCTGATGGAATGAGATTCTAGATTTTATTTTGACGTGTGATTCTCGCTGAGGATTGTGTTTGTGTCGTGTGGATGTTGAAGCTAGTTTTTAAACCTTTTTGTGTTTGGAAATTTTGTGACATGATTTAGTGTAGTTTCATATGGGTCTTTTCGTTTTATAAATGCAATGTTGATAAATGAAATGCACAGTAATGATTGTACCATAAGATGTGTTCTGACAAATGAATAAAAATCTGCTCTTTCAACTAAAAGAGTTTTCCCATGGTCTGAGGTTTCAGTGCAGACACTCTGAATGTCTACTGCTGCTGTGGCCTCCAGTGGTGGAGGTGCACACGGCCATTAACTCAGAATGACAGCAGCATCCACAGGGCACAGCAGAGGACACAGTACAGCACAGTTCATCAGCTTCTCCCCTCAGTCCCATGGACCTTCTGACGTCTCACCTGTCTCAGTGACCAATCAACGCGTCCAGTAAACTTACAGCATCTGAATGCTGCTTTTATGAAACTTCAAGTGCTGTCAGCTGGGCCAAGACGCATCTACATCTTTTTTATCAATTTTACTTCTTATTAATAATTGTTTTTCAGGGAAGTAAGAGAACTCTCAAATCGATCATTTGGGTTGACTTAAAGCTTTTATGTGGATTTATTGACTTCTCTTTGATCATTATCTGTTAACAAAAAAACCTTATACTTCAGGGTGGATGTATACATCATATACTTCAATCTTGATTGTAGAGCTTTTGAGAATTGAGAATGAAAATAATTGCGTTCAAGGATATTTTATAGCTGGGGAGAAAGTAGTATTTCTGACCCATTTTGTAGAACCACTTCAGTATCATATTTGTAAGCATACAATTAGGAGAAAGCCTGAAACAACCTCAAGTAACCCTAACTACAACATTGACCTCAACCAGAACATAAGGCTTACACAGAAGGGCTTGAACAGTCACATTAGACTCATTGGTTACAGTTGGTTTGGTTGAAGTTCAATTTCATTTTCCACACACGCTGTGAAAAAGTCTCTTTCGTCCTGTTGTCTGATGTCTAAATTTGCTTCCCTCTCCTCAGTCACTGAAGCCTGATTGGCTCCTGTCATTATTTTTTCTCCAACCTCCACCTCCTCATCCCCACCTGATCCTGCAAGTGTTGCCAATGGAAATTTCCGTCTTCCATCTGCTGCCTTTACCATCAGTGTCCACACTCCGGGCGCTTCTACCACAGTCCTCCCTGGCTGGATGCCAAGATGCATCTCACCGACGGGGTCTCATCGCAAAAATCTCCCACTGTTGTGAAGATGAATACACATTCTTACACACACACATATTGATCTCACCTCAGTGAATTGATCTCAAAAATAGTTGGGATTAACAAAGTCTACACAACCACTTATCTGGTCAAACGGTTCATTCATACATGATGTATGTATCAAGGGAAGATGCGCTTCTCATTGCTGTCTCTTACAGTTTGTCTTCAAACAGCCTCCAGGGGGTAGTTACTGCACTAGTGGAGCTCTCTGTGCTCACGCTGCCTGATTCACAGGCTGAGAAATACAGTTACCTTGCTGCCATCTGGTGCCACCACCACACACATGTTGAAGGAAATGCTTGATTCTTGTCTTCATTTGAACATAAACACCACAGGTCTGACTTTTGAATACACTGGATAATATCTTTTTTGATAAATTCCTCATAGGCATAGACATAGGCTACTTTCTCTAGTTGAGGTAAACTGTTCAATTTGTGTAAAATGTGCCACACTATAATGAAGGGCTGATTCTGAACTAATGAAGCTGCACATTTGTCTCATCTCTTATCTGCAGGGTTTGGTCAAACTAATTAGGGAGCAGTATGAAAACAATTCAGCCCTCTGCATTCCAGAGATATTTTCAGACTGCGTTGCTCTGAAACAGTCGAGGACCAGATCCAAACACTGAGACATGTTATGGGTGCCTCTGAATTACTCATGTGGCTGCTGTGGTGACTGAAGGACAGACACACACTAGCAGTTTGGGAGATGTCAGTCGGGAACATGACAAAAGCAGAAGAGAGCTCCCGAGCTCAATGCTGCAGGATTTAGATTATTGATGCAGGGTTTGGATAGCTTTGATAGCTTTAATCGCACAGGCCTCTTTAATCCCAACTATACACTGCAAATTAACTGACTAAATATGATACTGTCGTTGCTGAAACTGCAGCTGGATATTGTCAGGAGAGTTTTGGGTGAAAAGGTTTAGAAACAATAAGTTGTTGTCAGGAGGGAAAAAAATTACAGATAATCATTCTAGAATCCATTAGAAATACTGCACTTTGGTTGTTTACCTCTTCCAGCCAGCGCAGTGTGACCTTTGACCACCGAAATCATATCACTTAATCCGTGAGTCTAAATTTGTACCACATGTCAAATTTGCAAGAATTCCCTTTGATAATTGCTGATATATCACATCCGCATGTGTTGAGATGTCACAGTGATGTTGATCTTTGACCATCCTAATTAGGTCATCCCTGAGTCCAAGTTAATGTGTACTAGTTTTGAAAATATTCTCTCAAGCGGATCTTAAGATACAACATTGAGGAAAAATAAACACATAAACTGTGACCTATGTCCTTTTGGCTCCAAAACTAAAATCAGTTCATGCTTGAGCCCAAGAGAATGTTTGTGCCAAATGTGGAAGGATTCTCTCAAGGTGTCTCTCAGAGGTATTGCATTCACAAGGCAAACGATGTGCTTTGTCAGGCCACCATGACCTTGACCAACGACATCTCACCGGTTCATCCTGGACTCCAAGTGAATGTTTGTAGGCGTACTTTAGATATATACGTTCACAAGACAGACGGATAGATGGACAACCTGCAAACAGAATGCCTTCGACCACTGGCTGTTGCTGGAGGGGAAGCATTAAAACGATGCTGGTGTATCATAATGATGATTTCACATGTGGATTTGTTTTTATGACTGAAAACCTAAATATTTTAACAGAATGCACAAGGAGGACAAAGGACCGGGTCACTGAGTCTTTCTGTGTTCATCTGCGTTGCCTCGATTATTTATTTTTCTTGTATTTACAAATGTCAGTTGCTGGACAGTTGTCAGCAGAAAGAGCAGCTGGTGTGTATTCAGAGCTGAAGTGAGGATAACGGTGATGGAGCTGATGTTTGGGGAATACCTCGCCCTGGGTCTTGCAGGGGGCAGCAGTTTCCAGCAGGAGCGCACACAACGACCTGGGCTGCTCATGAGCATATTCCTCCTCCTCGTGTGGGGCGGCGCTGCGTCTCTGACAGCCAGCCTCCGCAGCAAATAGAAACACGGTTCACCCCGGGACTGCTCCAATCCGCATCCAGGGCGGGGTCTGGAGGGGTCGAAACCGGAGAGAGAAATCCCAAAAATGACATCTCGGCTGCGGTGGAGCAGGGAACGACTGAGACCCTGAGGAAAGAAAGAAGTCAGAGCGAGATCTCATCTGGGGATCTTACCCCAAAACAAAAGACGCACCAGAAAGGCGCAGACCATTACGCACGGTCTCCCCGTGGATGCCTCTGCTTCAGCGCGGACTTTTATTGTCTCTTTGGAAATGTAGTTGCATTCTTGAGAAAATCTCCAGAGGACAGTTGTTCTGACTAGTTGATGAGAGAAGTGAGAGGAGCTGCGCCTCCGTTTCCTGTGTTCCGCTGCAGCAGCTGGGCTGGAGAAGCCCCGCAGCGCTGACCGAAGAGCGGTCCTCGTTCCCCGCTGCAAACCACATCCACTCCGCTGCCAGTCCTCCGCCAAAGTCAGTGGAAGAAGACGAAAATGTGCGACCTGATGCCAGCCTCCCAGCCCGCGGAGAAAATCGGCAAAATGAAAAAGTTGAGGAGAACTTTGTCCGAGAGTTTCAGGAGCATTGGTGAGTAACGGGGTGTCTTTTTTCTTTTTTCCTTCCATGAACCCATTTTCCAGCCTCTTTGTGCGGAATGTTGGTGGAGGAGCTGCCTCCAGCTGCAGCAGCTGCAGCAGAGCACACTGTTGCTTCATCCTCAGCTCATGTCTGCTCACTGAGCAGCACAGACAGGAAAGCACATCCACTTGGTCTGTCCATGTTGTCTGTAGTTCATCCTTTGTGGGACTGGCACATTCATGTGGTTAAAAATGTGATAAACTCTTCTGAGGGTAGCGTGGTTGAAAAGAAAAACATGACAAATATGCTGTTGAACTTGTGGTTTGAATGTAATCATCAAGCCACAGTTTCCCATGAATATCATTATTCATAATCTTCACCATCGTCATCATCATTATGATTCTGCTCAGTCCCAGTCCCATGTGTTAGATAATACATATATTTTCCTCAACATAAATTCTGAATTATCAGGAGGAAAATGAAATTCATCCACTGGTTGCCACATGTAGGAAATTCAGTTATTGGATGTGGTTGATTAACTGATCAGTTTAATATGAGACATAAATATATGATCAAGATTTTACCACAAATGATAATATACTATTATAATTATCATTGATTTGTTAAACCGTGTGCCACCACTTTAGCTTTTTTATGTCTTTGAAGATCTCTTAAATGTGGTTACTGAAGAATTTTACAGTGTAAAAGTCAACTCTGCAGCAGTGGTTTACAATGGATTTCTTGTTACTTATTAGCTGACATAGAAAACTGATGTATCTTCTGATATAAGCGGATATTAGTTTAAATAGTCAACATAATCTTTAACATTGCATTCCACTGTCGTGTTTAGATTGTGCTTGATCTTATATATATATATTTGCACTTATTAGTACAAAAATAAAATCTACATCCGTACATCAGCTTAAATGTCCGTCTGTAAAGAAGGTGAAACAAAACAGCAAATAGTTTTTATTTGATGAATTTTTTCTTTTTAGTTGTTGTGATGAAGCTGTGTTTTACATGTTGTCAGCATGAATGTTGATTCTAAATATATGTCTGATAATAATCAATCACATTTTTATTTCCTCAGCCCATATTCACACATCACTGTTTGTCTCATAGGGCTTAAGGTGCGACATCCTCTGTTCTTAACCCTCAACAAGAGTGCAGAAAAACTACGAAAAAGAAACCCATTTTAACAGGAAACACATTTTATTTTTATTGCATCGAGTCACAACATAGATCAACTCAAGACGCTATACATAGGTAGGTTGAGATCTTACAGTACCATAGAGAAACCCAATAGTTCCGACCATAAGCAAACACTTGGTAACTTTGGAGAAAAAAAACTCCAAATCAAACCTCCAAAAGAACCAGACAGGGTGGCCAGTAACACTTGTTTTAATTGTTGAATAATCCAATAATATTTTTTCAATAGAGTGATTAATTGTTCACCCCGTCAAAACAGGACATTGGGGGAAAATGCTCATTCCAGTTTCCAAGAGCCTTGGGTGACGTCTTCAAAGAGCTTGTTTTGTTCGAGTAACAGTTCAAAAAGATGTTCAATGAGATATACAAAGATAATGGTTGTTGTTGTTGTAGATTATTCTATTTTTCTGAGATTACAGGAGAATGTATTGGCCACTTGTGCAGAGATCCTTTTAGGCTTCAGGGTTGAATCAGTGTGTCGGGAATAAAAAGCTGGATGCATCAGATAAGAAGTGAGTTTGGGTCAATGTTGCGTGGGAAGAAAAATTGGCATTGACTTTTTTTGCTGTGCTGACGCCCATCTCCTATTGGCCATCTCCCCGCTCATCTAAATCAACACATCTGAGCAATCGATCGGCCCCCACCCCCCGCTCTACAGATGCTTTAACAAAGCACATTGAAGAATTAGCTTTATTGTTTATGTCCTTGTGTTGATGCAACTGGTCCCAGTGGGTCAGGCTGCACCACATGTCGAATTATGACCGTGCAACAAAATGCATCATGGATTTTTATTCTAACAGCACTGATGCAGGGTTTCTGTGTGCTGGGCAGGTAGAGAGCCTTTAGTCTGACATGTGAATGTGAGCGGGGGATGTTCGGGAGGAGGACCCAGATGGATTATATGGAAATGATGGATGGTCTCAAACCCCCTTTAATACATTTTTATTAAAAGTATATAAAATGTCCTGCCCCCTGACTCACTCATTAAATAACTGTGGACTGTGTTCATTTGCTGTAATTAAGTGACTGAACAAAGCCAACAAATAACGCTACATGTATCCCTTCATCTGATAGTGATAATGTGTTCATAAAAATGTTCTGCTGTTGAGGTGCCCTTGAGCAAGGCCATTAACCCCCAACTGCTTGTCAGGAGGTGCAGAGTATGGCCACGATATCAGTGTGTGGATCATTTTCAGGGTGCATCCTTGCAAAGCCATCTTAATTAGAAAGCCTATTTGTTTCCCCTCTGTTTCGTACAGTGGCCCCTAAGGACAAGAAGTAACACCAACATTTACAGAAACGCACTCCACATACAGAAATGCAAAATTCCAAAATATGTAAAAGTATTGAAAATTCATAGAATAAGAATTCCTACAACTGTATAGCAGCCCCTCAGTATAAAGTCTGCAGGAAGTCCGGATGGGCCGATGTGAGAACACAGCAGCGGAACCTCCGCAGGATTCACTGCTAGTGAGTGGAGAGAGAGTACTTGGAAGAGCAACAAGAAGGGAGGAGGCTCGATGATGTTGAGGAAGACAGAAGTTACCAGAGCACACGATCCACTGATTACACTGCAGTATGTCACAACTTCAAATAGCAAAGACCTGATTGAATATTGATCTGTATCTGGCATCCACTTGTGTTGCTTTGTTGTGTCTGTCAGCTCATATGGAATAATGTGCATTCCAATTGAATGGGATAGTGCATCAATGCTTTACTTTGTATAATATCACCTGATATGTTGAAATAGTCTACGTATAAAAGACATGCAAATCCAAACTGAGAGATTTTGTTTGGAAAATGCTGATTTAATCCTTTTTAGAGCAGGACCAGAGAGAGGATGAGAGAAGATGAGGAGAGAGCAGAGGTGGGGGGGGAGTGTGACAGACAGATGAGACACCAACAGAGAGAGAGAGTTAGTGGGGAGGTGAAGAAGAGGAGAGCATCAGACAGACAGAGCAGGCACAGTAGTCACAGTTCAAAGCAGCACAGTGTCTCACCTCTTATATTTATTTAACTCTGTGAGAATCTAAAGATTTCTGCACTGTGCTCAGCCCCTGATGTGTCAGTATCCTAACAATGGCTCTGGTAACACAACACAATGATCAGGAGGTGTGAACAAAGGCGTTTCTGTGATTCTGGGTGAATATGAATGAATATGGTTCACTGTGACGTCATGGTGCCAAGAAATCGCTCCAGCAGGAAACTGTATTTTGAATAAATGGTATCAAATGTTTAACATAGTGAACCCTGGATGGGCACATTTTGTTTTCTGTGGACTGAGCCAGGTGTGCCATTCCTAAGCGAAAAGGCATATTCCTGAAAATTAATTGAATTATAACTTTTGGTTTCTGACACCAGTAAATAATTCTGTCCACGCAGTGCGACGGCTCATCAAAGTCAAATTAGTTTGAAACCTGCAACATTTCTCAGTAGTTGTCATAACAACATCAAATATTTCTAACATAGTGTTTTGGTAGTTTAACTATGCCATAGCAAGCACAGGGAGAATCACGCAGCACCATTAAACTATCCTCAAAGTTTTTACCGTTCTTGAAATCAACGTAACAGTGGGAATCTTTAGCTGTGCATGTAGCTCTGCTCGTAGCTTGTATAACAATCTTCAACACAATCATTGTAACATTTTATAAAACTATCATTAACATATCTCGCAATATCACTTTTGTAGGGATAATTGTACATTCTGTGGGCTTGTGGAGGCTTTTTTCCTCCGTCTGATCTGTTTGGCTGAAAAAACTATTGAGATGACATTTTATGGGAGATCCTGATTATGCAGTTTTGTGTGGAAAAAATCTTAATAACCAGGTTTAATGGAAACGGTTAGGAACATGGTTTTGGACAAGCTTTGGACAAATGGTTCTAACTTCCACAGTTGGGCATCGAGTTTAAGGTTAATACATCCAACATGACCTCTAGCTCTGTTCGCTGAGTTCATTTGGCCAGTAACACTCCACTGATTTGTGAATATTGCAGAGCAGCACAATGCGAACACACAATACATGATGTGCAGCTGCAACCATTCATTGAATAAACAGTGATTAAAAATGCTTGAAGCCATTTATTTGATCGCATCAACTCATCTTATGTTTGACCCTCAAAAGCCTGTGATCACATGACATTATCAAAATACAGGTCACATGTTAAAGTGTCACTCCATTATATTTTTGAGCAGAATTAATACTTGACATCCTGCCTCTGCCTGCTGCTCCACCCCTCACCTGAACACTGTTCATGTGTGAACGGTAAACTCCAGAGAAAGTCCGGACCAAATTCTCAGGAGGTCATGTCTAAGAATGACTTACATTTCCTTTGGAGGATTAACTGACTGTCACATTACAGTCACACATCAGTTGTATCGATCATCAGATGAATAAGAGATATGATCATAGAATTCTTGACACATTTTAATTAACAATTCAGCTCTCTCCCTCTTCACAAAGATCCCAGTTTTTACTTCCACATTTAAGTTTACAAAGTTTCTGCTCGGGTAGAGTATGTCAGCATGTTACAGAATCTCCGGCCTAATGAAACTCCATGTTGAGAGTTAAGTTGGGAAAGTTGTCATGTGCACCAGTGAACTCCTCCTCAGCTCAAATCTCACCAGCAGCCACACCGCTTCGATGAGCACAGCATGAATTCCTGACAATTTTCGGCACGGCGAGGAGGTTGTGTGCCGCGTTGCATCTCCACCACGAGACATTTTAGTTTGTTAATTGTCGTTGCAGCCAGTGTTTGATTATCTCCCTCTTTCTCCTTTTTTTTTCCAGCTTTCAAGAAAGAAGACAGCGGCTTTGATGAGGTAGGTTGAACACAACTGAATATCTGCTGTGCTTGTGACATCACCGGCCCAGTTTCAGGGCTATGACACCACAGTGTTTTACACCACAATTATTCATCAGGGTCTTGCTGGTAAGATGTTGTCAAAACATTCTGCACCGCACTTGATTTCTTTGCGGATGGTGATGTAGCTCAGTGGGTATGCTGCGTAATATATTCATGTGTGGAACACGGTGGGTTCCCCTCTCATACCAGAGACGTCACCATCGCAGTGCTTCTCTGCCCTGACAAATGAGACATCCGCTAATGCACCAGCCACACTCCCTCTGTATGAGTGCACCCATGGGCCCAACCTTGTTTCACATTGTACTCACTGTCCTAAAGTGATAATTGACTGTAACAAAATGGTCAAATGGTTTCCTCGTGCTCTCTTTGAGCAGCTACAGTGCCACACTGCTGCATCAGTCTCCACGTTTCTACTCTTCTACGCAGTGCAGTGTTATGCAGGGACATTGGTAAAAAACAGCCTTGATCCCCTGACACATTCTGAGTTTGTAATTCAAATGAAATGGATGATGTGTCGTGTGAAAGAGCCAAGTGGACATTCTATAAAAAACTGTTTAGCATTTAAATATCACTCCAAATTGACAGTACAGTTAAGAGAAGAGGATTTACTGTAGTTTTCAATTGTTCACTACTACAAATGGTAGCATTTGTGTGACTTTGCTATAGAGTTGCAACAATAGTTTGAAATTGAACACAGAAAGAAATTTTGCTTAATTTCTATTTTACATCACTTTAATGCTTTTTTTTATTTTTTATTATTTAACTAGTGTTTGACTGTGTGACATCACATGTGTGAGACATTGGCCTTGTAAAGTTCCCTGATCACAACAACTCCTGGGAAAGATTTCTCTACTGTTCAGTCGCTAGCTATGTTCAATGTTTGATGTTTGAATTCATTTTATCATGTTTTCTTTGTCTCTGTGCTGCCGACACCCAGTAGCCAGAGGCGTTACGTTTGCATGTTGTCTATCCATCCATCCAATTCTTGTGAATGCCTTTTGGACATTTCTTCAAAGTTGCCTTAAACATTCACTTGAATTCAAGGATGAGCTGAATCAATTTCAAAGGTCAAGGTCACTCTGACCTCATAAAGCAAATGTTTTCACTTCGTTTCATCTAAATTGTATGAATTGTAGTTTTCTTTACCACAGAAAAGGCTCTTTATATTCAAATACTTTTTATTTACATCGAGGGGACCCTCTCTATGGAGGCTGCCATGTTTTTTACATTAGTCCAGACTGGACAATCTAAACACCTTTTGAGTTTTTATGACAACTGAAGGCTACCACAGTTTTTTTTTCATGTTTTGAAGGAGAGGGTGAAGTGAGGGGTGTTCAGCTGCAACATGCAATTTCAACACTAGATATCACAAAATTCTACACACTGTACCTTTAAATGCAGCTTTAGATCGTGAGACTCAATATGGAATCAAGAAATGCTTGAAGATGCTTTTAGGAGTGGGCAATAAAATAAGATAAAAACATTCAATATCAGACATGGTTGTGTTTCATGGTTTTTCCCCAATCTTGTAAACCTGACACAAATCAAAATGTGATTAGTGATGATGGTGATATAAAGCAACCTGGAATATTAAACCCCTCAGTGTTAATGCTGTGAAAAAAAATCACTGATGCATGACATATTAACGTTGCCTCGCAGTATATGTACGGTTAGATTAATGCTCATGTTTTACGTTGGTTACTATTGATTATACCCATTTTTAGTTCATCCTGTACATTATTTGAATTGTCTCACGAGCACTGGGGTGGTGTTACTATGCAGACCATTGATTCCTCTCACGTTCTCACAGTCTGCTGTCGTCGTAGGTGTCTGGCTGATGAGGCAGTCGATAGGTTTGAGTATACTGGGATGTTGGATTTGTGTTGAAAGGGAAATCCTGCCTGGTAGCTCTTTAGACTCAAAGTAACAGCGTATTGTCTGAAATGAGGCAGCGGTATCCCTTCATGAATAAGTGATGAGACAGCAGCATGCTTTGTGTTGATGTTGCAGACATGTCTGTGCTGTGGTTGGTCGGTAGGTACTTACACTAACCGCTGTGATTCAATTGTTGTGGAATTTTCTCAGTTCCAGCTCAGGAAGTCAACTCCGTTCTTAATGTTGCCTGTGAAGCCATGATCGTTGGGGTCATTTTATCCAACCTGCTCATTGAGCCAATAATTCGAATCGATTATATAACCAGCAGGGGGCAGTGGTAAGCACTGTTGGCTTATACATTTACTTCCTTCAAAGACCTTCAGCTTTACAAGAGACTTTGCATTGAATTGTGTTTTAAGGGTTGTTTGTATCTACGTGCGAGTCCCGTGAGGCTAGCGACTTCTCCAGTGTCTAGTGTACCCCGCCTCTCACCAAATGTCAGCTGGGAATTGGCTCCTACCTTGTGACCCTCAAAAGATGAGTGGTGTAGATAATGGATGTAATCAGACGTATTGGCAGCAATTAAGAGCTGGATCTTTCAAGGTGACTCAGAGATCAGTTAGCCTGACAGTCAGAAACAAAGGCAAATGGTTCCTGCCATTATGTGTTTTCTCTGCTCTATTTTTGAACTGCAGTTAACAATTATTTTCAGTATTGATTCATTTTCTGCCGATGTTCTCGCTTCATGGTATAAAACAGAGGGAAACATTCCTGTCACAATGAAAGGATTTCTGTTCCATTTGACAAACGTTCACATCAGAGCAAGTGGAATGAAGGAATATTTTACATCCTTCAGCTTCACCTTGCACCAATCGACTGATTTACTTATAGTCTCACCAGATGTTTTCTGGATTTTTTTTGAGCAAATGTCATTATAAAACAACCTTGACAGACAGATATCAGTGTTTCTAGGCTGACACCGATACCCTGATATCGATATATAAGTTAAATAACATTATTAGAAATATGTGCTTTTTGGTAATTAAAGAATTGTCAAAGATTGGGACATTCAATAATTAGAAATGAAATATTTTCAAATGACCTGATATCAGGTACTCTGATGTGATAGAAAAACTGCTAACCAGTTGATTGTCAGGGCAGCATTTGTGTACTGTATCGGCACCTCCAAGAAACCAACACTGTTCACAGTAATGACATCCCTGAAATACATTGAGGCCTTTCACCATTATCTACTTACAGCTCTGTGAAACCTGACATAAGCAGCACGGTGTTGTTTCCGCTCCAGCTGATTTCTTGTGTCAGTTCTTCACTGTGACTGGAGCTCTTACGCTGCAGCCTCAGCTGTAGTGTGAAGGTGTTGATGGAATGCTGCATTATGACAGTTTCTCACTGACTGAACTTTGGAAAAGTCTCTATTTTAGTTGACAAAGGGTCATAAGAGAGCTCCAATATCACAGAGGTCACATATATTTGTCAAGTTTCCTGTGCTTATTTATAAAAGAAGCTAGTATCCCATGGTCTTGTTAAGGACGGGACTTTTGTGGTGAAACAACATGAAGCAGACCATTTCTAGACGTCAGTGCCATGGGAATTATCCGGGCAATTGGCTATAAATGGGCCTTTCTGCTTTGGAAGAATGTAAAGAATCTGAGGGGAAAAAGACTCCTTCCTGTCCTGCAACACGATGCTTGTCGGAAAGTAGATAATGGTGTGCAGCTACAGTATGTGGACATATAGGAGTGTGATGGTTTATGCTTTCATACCTCCTGTCTGCCTGAGAGAAGCAGACAGACTCAGAGAACTTGTTTTCTACTGGTGCCGGTTGAGCTGATGATCATTTATCATGGTGAAGAGGAAACTATGTGACTGTTTAAACCATAAAGATGGCTGATCAAACTGAGAGGCAGCAGCCTACACTCAGACATCAGGAGACGTTTCTGAAGTTTTTTATTGCCTTATTGTATTTCAAGATTTTGCATTGAACACATAATACATAGTTCTGTGTTAGAGACAAAGGGGTCCTGTAATGGTGTAGTTGTTGTAAACTTGGATCCATCTAAGAGGAAATATGTTCTGTTATATCATTGAGCTTGGAAATCAATCTGAAACACAAATCTTTTTTTCCTCTTGGTAGCTTAGATTTTGATGAGTGCCAACAAAGAAAAGTCTAGTCTTGTTTTTACTGCTGCAAAAAATGTATTAGGATGGAAGACGGCATGCTCCGCAACAACACTGTCTCAGTGACAGGCAGAGTTGGCAAGTTATATCTCACTATATTTGCACTACAAGAAAGTTGTACTTATGTAACAAAATATGTACAAAATACAGTATAAGTACTTAATGGATGAGGTGTAAAGATAATTGTTTTTCTCTTTTTAAATCTATCTATCCATCCATCCAGTTTAACAAGCTCATATTATTTAGGTAATGTGTACAGTAAATCATTTGAAACCGGGTGTTTGAGGGTAAACTTGCTTGGGCAAAGAGAGATGAGGTGTAATGTAATGTGACCATTAAACGATTTAATACAAATACACCTCACCCTGGATGTGCGGGTCACTGCAGCACATCAATCAACAGCAGGCAACCTTTCCTGAATACTCGCAAGGACTTTTCACACATACGGTGTGCTAGTGTTAGTGCATTGGTGAGTAATGTAATGTAGTGGTGAGTGAAGACGGTTACACAGCCCAGAGACGTTTGAACTGAAGACGGTTTTATTTTTCAAGGACTGTTCTGCCACAAAATCTGACCAGGGAAGGAAATCTCGATTTGAGTTTGTAAACAGATATGATAACATCAGGAGCTCTTCTCCTTCTCTCCTCCTCCGTTTGCCTCAGTTTCTAACTGAAACAGGAATTGTAACCTGATTTGCTTCATGTAAATCTTGCGGTAAGAAATGACATGAGACATCAGGAATTTCCTATCAGCCATCTTTGAATCTTTGTTCTCTTTATCGTGTGCTCTCACTCTTTGTTGCTCTCCATGTTGTCTTTGTCTCACACACAATATTCATTATCTATTCTCAGTCTAATTGAAGCAACAATATTTTTATGTTTG